CTAAGCAAATAACATTTGCCTGAACGTTTTTAGGAAAATGGGGCAATTATTCAGAAGACACAGGGGCGCACGAGTTCTGTAATTGTACTGTTGCACATGGGTTTCAACTTTCTACGCGAAACGACTTTCATTCCACGCACCCCCTCTCCCCTCCCGCCAAGGGACGCACCACTTTTTATACAAATAGACATTACTTTGCGAAAGTCGCACATCTCTTAGCAAAGAAGAAATAAGGTGAACCTTGTTTTGCATCAAGAGTCAAAATCACGTGCAACAGTATACAATCATAGAAGTCGTGCGCTTCTGAGGAGGGAGGGAAGGAGGAAGAGTGAAAGTCGCTTCGCGTAGAAAGTCGAAACCTATGTGCAACAGTATAATTGTGTGCCTTTCAACAAGCCACACAAATGACACGGTGTTACACAATAGATCAGAGAGAATCAAGGAAGAGTGAAGCGGAGAGTGTTCCTCTTCTCTGATTGGTTTCGCCATTTATAGTGCACTTCCGCAAATGTGTGTGTATGTCATATACACAATACACAGTGTGTGCAGCATCGTATGTTTCATCATGCTTCATACTTCTACTCACTTCAATGGTGCACTAAAATGGCGGCTTCCGGGTGAATCCGCTCCCTCGATTCTTTCTGTAATGGATCATTACATTCTTTGTTTGTCAATATTAAACAAAGATGACATGATCATTGTGATCGCACTGTGTCGCTTATTGAAACGTACATATAGAAGTCGTACGCCTTTGAAATAGGGGAGTGATAGATTTCCTAATCTCAATAGTCATCAACTTCAACTTAATATCTCGGTTCGCGAGACTAGGCATGACATTTTAATGCCAGATTCTTTCGTTTCATGCAAAAACGCGCCAAACGAGTACAATTTCATTGAAATTGAAGGTGAGGGACGTCTTCTAAATAATTACTCCATTTTCCTAAAAAGCATTCAGGCAAATGCTATTTGCCTAGCAAAATAGCATTCATCTAAGAAAATAGCATTTGAAGCGAGCGAAAGTCATTTGACTAGGCAGATAGCATTTGCCTGGTCAAAAACTATTTTCCTGAAATATACCATTTACCTATGACATATACATTGACAAGTAAACTCACAGCAATAAAATAAGAGATATAGCAATAAAATAATATAATAATAGAAATAATATTTGAGATTTCTTAAAAAAATCGCTAAACTTTTTAGAATATCAAATTAAATGCATTGATTATATCTGAATGTTTTCGTAACATCATTTAACAATACTTATTAACTTTAATTACATGTGCAATATCAAAGCATTTATATTTTTTATACATGATTTTTATATCTTGTACATACTAAGAATAATAGCAATTAAATATTTAACCAAAGCGTTATTATGCTGACAGATCTACTTTCTTTATATTTTATTATTCTAGATATTTACAATTTTTAAATAATCAATTTCTGTTGTTTGATACAAGACAATTAAATTTATTGCGTAAATCGAGTAAAATGCATTTGTTAGATATGCAGAAAAATAAATGTACGCTTTTTCAAAATTATTTACATAAGTGAATGAAATAAACATTAGCAGCAAAAATGTAGTAAGATTATTTTAAAAATCTCACAACTAAAAACAATTTACTAAAAATAATTAATGTTATTACATTAATAACATTAATGAGAAATGTTAACCCTTTAGGGGGCAGTGGAACGTATATCTCACCTTTTTGTTCTTAGTTTTTTTCCATATTTCTGATCTATTTTGCAGTTTGTACGCGCATATGAGTACTTTTTAAACTCTTAGACATCTAAGTTATGCAACTTTTCTGAAAAATTATGTTTATTTATTTGCAATTTTGTAAACAATTAATGTGAAAAAAACTTTTTTTTTTTTTTCCCCCAGAATAAATTCAACTATTCTTAAACGTGAAGTATTAGAGCTCTGAAAATTTTTATTAGTATACTTCATATCTGAAACTATAATATATATTTAAAATAGTCCTAAAAGTCGCCATATTGGATCCGCCATTTTGAATTTTGTAATTCTGACATTAGAATCGTAATCAGGGATGAAAACCATAGATGATCTGATATGATTTCAATAATTTGTTTAGCAGAAAAATATGTCCCTCAAAGGGTTAAAACATCGAAAGTTGCTAAAAGATTTTTAAATAATTAATTAAATGTATATTAATTATTACTTTCAAATTGCATAATGTACTGTACAATACTATCTGTGTCTTTTACGAAAATATAATGATTTCTGGGTAAATCGCGATAGTATTGTGTGTGAGTGTGTGTGTGTATCAAAATTTGATATCATCTTTGGATTTGAAACAAATTTTTAATGTGTTTTATTCAATCATATTGTTTATGAAATTAATCAGTAATAATAGTTATATAAATGACTATATATATATCGAGTGTTCAAAATAAAGCATTACACATTTTTATTTCGGAAACAAAGCACTTTAAAGAGAAACGTTTTATACAAAAGTTTTAAAGAGGACATGAGATGATTTGATTTTGAGTGGCGTTGTCAAGGTTAGAGCAAGGTCACAGAATTTTTTAACGAAACTCTTTATTTTTTATCGCATATTCTTCTAGCTTATTTCGAGAGATTTTCAAAACATTATAAAATATTTATTTATTAAATACTTTTCGAGTTACAGCTGAAAAGTTATAGTACCATCGGCATAAGAGAAAGAGTATTATCCAAGATGCCTGATCAACGGCTAAATTGAATGTTATTCAGAGACATAGCAAATATTAAAACCTTGATAACATTTCAAGATCAAGACATTGTCAAAATCAAGAGTTGGAGAATATTTCTAATTTTTATTTTTATGTAAAAATTAAAATAAAAGAAATAATCGCCAAATGTCTTTAATCTTAACAAATATTATCCAGGTCATGATTCTGAACATTCAAGAAGTTTTAGTCGTCAGTCGGATACTTTGGGTAATGCTCTTTCGCTCTCCCTACCCTCTTCCTCTCTCCTCTGTCTCTTCCTCTTCTTTCTGTCTCATCCTCCCTCCCTCCCTCCCTCCCTCCTTACAAAAGATCTTTTCGTTCTATTCTAGTTATATTTCTACTGCAGTAATTCTATGGAACGGCTTCCCGCATGATGTACGATCTCTTCGAGCTCTATTAATGTTTTTAGGCAGAAACTCTATGCGCATTTGTTCTCGAAACCATAGCAACATCTGTATATTAGTTTCTTGATTGAGTAAGAGTGATGAGTATGTCTCTGAGATGTCTCATCTTTCAATATGTATATCAGCGTTATAGTATATATATCACAGATATCTGAGCTTTCCACATGTGTGCTAATCGCTCGCGTAAATTCATTTTTTAGTAATATATATGTAATCACATTATTAGTTAGTTCTTTTTTTTGTATATGGTTTTTAAATAAAAGTTCGATATTTTCGATGTAACTGAATTTGATTCTATGTACTGTGGTCTCTGCGCTTGAGGGGACTTGTCTCAGAGCGCATAATAATGCGTCTCTCTCTCTCTCTCTCTCTCTCTCTCTCTCTCTTTCTCTCTCTCATGCCGACGGTATTGTAACTTTCAAGTATAATTCGAAAAATACTTAATGAAAAAATATTTTAGTGTTTCGAAAAACTCTCGAGGTGATAAACTGCAAGTATGAAAAATGGTTAGTCTCATTCAAAAAATTCTGTATGCTCTTGCTCTCGCCTGGACAATAGCCATTCAAGGTTCATTTATCTCACGTCTTCTTCAAAGTTACAAAACTTTTGTATAAAACATTTTCCTCTAAAATGTTCTGTTTTCAAAATAAAAATTTGTAAAGCTTTATTTTAAACATCTGGTGTATATGTGTGCGCGCGCGCGCGTGTGTGTGTGTGTGTGTGTGTGTGTGTGTGTGTGTGTGTGTGTGCATAGAATAGTAATTTATAGTTTATTCTAAAAATTCAAATAAATACATATTTTTAATTAATATTTATATCTCATTAATTAATTAACAGCCGGGAGACAAAGTTCAATAAATATTTTTATCTTAGAAATGATAATTTCGCTGAAACATTTTCATTATAAATTAATTGTATTTACAATAGAAAAAATAGTTTTCTGTAAATATGTATAATAGAATTAATAATGGGTTAGATACGTATTTGAAAATATTAGATGTAATATAATTCCATTTATTCTTTTAAAGCCCAATTTTTCATTATTTAATTAACTTGTAATTAAACTTAGTATGACATTTCACTCATTAGGCTTCACCCATAACATTATCAAATGAAGTCCATTGTATAAAACATCAGGTTAAGCTTAATCACAAATTAAATAGAAAATGAAAAACTGGGCCTTAATACTATTTTTAAGCATTTCCCAAAAAGCATTTTTATTTGAAATTTGGATATAGTAGCTTCAAAAAGTTTCCGAAATTCATTCAGAAAATTCAAAATACAAGTTTATTCATCAAAAGTGATATTGTCCCCTTCAAAGTCTCTCCAGCGACTGCAACGCACTTATGCCAGCGCTTGATCCAGCTCTCGAAACATTTCTGGAACTCTATTATTGGTATAGCTATCAGAGCCGTCTTCGATTTTTCCATTACCTCCTTTCGGCTGTTAAAACGCGTTCCCCGCAGGTTTTTTGACTCGATCGAACAGAAAAAAATCGCAGGAAGCCATATCGGGTGAATTCGATGGCTGTTGGATGGTATTCGTTGTTGCAAACTCGTTGTTGCAAATTCAACTCCATTTTTAAAAAATCGAAAACACGCGCAGAGGTAGATGTACTCAAGACGGCGTAATTTTTACAAATGTCAAGCTATGGCGATAAAATTTGGAAATGTCAATGATAGATGTGGCAACCTAGCCAAAAAAAAGAACTCAAATCAGCTGACTCAGAGCATCACCTGGTGGTCTCTTCCGGAAACTTTTTGATCAAGCTGGTATTCCCGAATATTGAGTATTTTAGAACTATTCTTTACTTTAAAATTTATATATTCAGAGCGTTAAATTTGAACACTTGTGAAATACATTTTTTTCTTTATATTTCAAAGCTTTATCTGCGGACTATAATTCCCAACGAATGTTATCTAAATATTTTTTGTTGTAAATCAATAACTAAACCATAAATTCTGTTGCGATTTTCCGTTAATCATCTGATGGTGGCCCATAGAAAATTAATTCAGGGATTTGGCCTCCTTGGACACCGGTACCATTAGTACTTTCAGAACTACACTGAAATTGAAAATTCACACTGCCAACTGTTGCTTCCGACATACCTTCTTGACCAAAAAAACTCAATTCTCCACCGTCTAATATTGCGCTTGCTGTGTATGAACATTCTGGCTCGATTTGTATCGGATTTTCAAAATATACATGAAATGTGTTACTCGAACCATCAGAGAAGAATTTAGTGTTATTCTCTGCCAAAATATTTCCGAGTCTCTTAAGTTCTATTTTAACATTATAATCGGAAGCACCAGACGAGCTTCCATATAGCCCAAAACCTATCACAAATATTCTCTTATCAACACTGAACTGAATTGAGTCGCAACGACCTCTGTATCGCCATTGATTTGACCTATATGCACAGGATTGAAATCTATGGCAAACCTGCAAATAACAATTTTTTAAATTATCTAAAATTATACGTAGTGTCATATTTACTGCTAAGCTATTGATAAATACTATATATTAGCTATTTAATACTATAGTTACCCAGAATCATAAGTATAGATACTGCAGATATTTATTTGAAACTTCTACATAAAATTTTGTCTTTTCAATAATAAAATGACGTAAATACAATACAGTTGAGGTTTTAAAATTTTCATATAATTTGTAGTTTTCACTTACCTGAGTTTTCAGTCCTTGACGTGGCTTGGTAGCAAAACAAAGTTGTGGTTTGTTACTGGCCGTAAAGTACAAAAATAAGTCGATTGTTTCTTGATGTGTTAGGATTCCTGTCTGTGCTGCACTGTTTGCGAACTCTTCAAGATTCATAGCAGGAAGTCTAATTAAATATAAGGCAGATCCTAAAAATGGAAAATATGTACACACACATATACACACGCGCGCACTTGCGCACAAACATATACACATGAAAAGAGTGGTTTAACATTTATTTTGAAAAGAAAAACATTTGCAATTATCTCACCTAATAATTGCCTTTGATTGGCAGGAATAGGCTCAAGATCTTGCCGTATGCATTCTGCAGAAGCCCATCGTAATGCAGCATCCCATATATGAATTTCTTTGCAATTTAATGTTTCTCGAGATAAAACAGACTCGAGTGTATGAATATCAATATCCACAAAACCATCAGATCTTAGTGCCATTTCTGCCTGTCAATAGATTTTACTTAATGTTGAAGTTCAATCTCATATATCATTGTTTTTTAATAATTTTTTATAATTAATTAGTTATTTAATAATAGTTTTATTGTTCCGATGATTATAATTATGATTCAAAATCTATTTTTTATCTTTTTTTTTTTAAATTATAATTTATGAATTGTTTGTAATAAAACTTATATATTTATTTGTTAAGTAATGTTCTATATACATATTAAAATTCCATACGCGCGCGCGCACGTACGCACTAACTTAACTTCATAAAAATTGTCAAAATTATTATAACTCCAAAAGGTTAAAAAAAATCGTTAAAATCAAAGGGAACAATTCTTTAAAGAACTATAAAACGAAAATGATAAAAATGATATTTCATCGTGTTAAAAATGTATTCTTTTGTCGATATTATTTAATTAAATTTTTATAAATCTGAAACATAGTTTTTTTTCTTTTCTGAGAAACTTAATTTTTCTGGTTGTATTACGGTTTTGAAGATAGCAGATGTAAAAGTGTAAGTAACATATACAGGGTATCTGAGACCACTTGCTTTAAATAAAAAGGAAGTGATTTTGATAAAAAATATTTCAAACAAAATATAATTTGAGATAAACAGTAATGATAAAATCATTGTTCGAAATAAATAAATTTTTTTTAATCATATGGAAGTCACCGTCATTTTTTTAAATGAAATTACACGATTTTTTTTGTAACATAATTTATCTAACTATTCTGCATATATAAATAAGGTAAATATTGAAAAATCAAAAGTTTATGAGATATTGATTTTTTATTCTAACACATTTTGCGATATGAAATATAAAATATCTCATAATTCATTTTTTGATAACTGTACCTTAATCCATTTATAAATTAACGAGATGAATCAATTAATGTGTGAAGAACATATATAGTTGTAAAAAATATATGCAATTTACAATATGGGGATATAAGAAGATACTATTGATTTGACTTTGAATGGTGTCGCCAAAGTCAGATCAAGGTCACATCGATTTTTTTAATAGAACATCTTATTTTTAATAGCAGAATATAATAGCTGATGTCAAGAGTTTTTCAAAACTCTGTAATAAAGTTATTTTTCATTACGTACTTTTCGAATTACAAGGCTTGAAAGTTACAATACCGCATTAGCATTACACAAGGTGTTTGACCGAAGTGCTAAACCTCTTGAATGTTGTTCAGGATCATGTCCTGGATAACATTTATCAAGATCAAGACCACTGGAGATTATTCCTCTTATTTTCATTTTTATATTAAAAATTTATTTTTACGTTAAAATGAAAGTAAAAAGTATAACTTCCAATAGCTTTAATCGACACCACCCAAAGTCAAATCAATGATATCTTCTTATGTCTTCCTCCGAACAATACAACTTTTGTTTGAAATATTTTTCCGTATCTACTATAGTTTTCGAGAAATCGTAATGCATTATATAAAATGGGACACCTTGTATTTTATATGCAGAATAATTAGAGATGTATAAACGTACGCAAGTATGCAGATCTGTTTCTTTATCATAATTTTTATACAATATTGAAGTAATTTGATAACTTTCGCTCTTGACTACTATCGATAGAAAATAAAAGTATCTGTTAGAATAGTAGAATTCTTTTGAATAACGTTTAAGCTTTGTATTCGTGCGCGCACGTCACAAGATTACATAATAGCATTCGTACTAAACACATTTTTTTTTAATTATTTTTTTCAACTATTTCTTATTGCCATCATGATGTAAAAAGACAAGATGTATCAACATCACGCAATAGTCCATGGTCTCAATCAATAAGAATTGGGTCCAAATGTTCAAAAGCAATCATGGCTGCCATGATATGAACATGATATATTGTATGTACATACTAACAAAAAGATATCCCAATCATGACGACAAAATGCATATAATTTTCAGTGAAATGTGTACATACATTAGACCATTTATTTGAATCGGAACAGTCAAAATTGAACAGTTAAATTGGACAATAATTGATATCAAAATAGCTGTGCATAGCTGTCAAGTATTTATAAAGTGATCAAGTGATTGTATTAAGAGTAATTGTATTCGGTGTATAACTGGAATTGATAAATTACGCGATGATCATTATTCATATATATTTTAAGCAATTGTAATATTTTACATTAATTTTTGTAATTTTCAGAGTTCACTGCACCTCGATATTTTCGAAATTAATGTATTTTTTCACAATATTTCAATTTTATCCGAATAAAAATGTCCAGTATTGTAATAGACAAATGAATCGAGCAAGAATTTAGGGTTAATAATCACAGATTATTTCTTTCACATAAATTAATTAAATATTGGTAAAATTCAGACGCTTCAATCTTGATTTTTTTTTTATTTCTTCGAATATTTTTTATAGAATCTATAGAATATATTATAAAATCTCTTTAAAAAGCGATGGTATCGCATTGCCGTTAAATTATCGTGTGTTATAACAGACTTGAATTTTATATAGTTTATATTCTCGATTTTATTATAAAATCACAAAGTATCATGTAGTGCAGCGTGAATTATTATGATTGTAACAATACTTTGTAATTAGAAATATTTGTATCTGTGCTATATTGAAAGTTGATAATCTGATTATGCATTGTTCATTAATTCATGTTTTATCCATTGGCATCAAGCAATTGAGAAATAGCAGTACATGAAATTACTCGTAATATTTTAATCAAAGAAATAATTCTGTGTTTATAAAGGCATTTTTGTACATTTCTATTATTCCAAGTATTTTTATATTATTTTTGCGTGCTTATATTATTCCAAGTATTTTTACATTTTTACATTATTTTTGCACATTATTTTGACAATTTACATTATTCTTACATTATTTTTGCGCGCCTGTATTATTCCAAGTATTTTTACATTATTTTTGCGCATTTATATTATTCTAAATATTTTTATATTATTTTTTCAAACATTTTAGATATATATGATTATATGTGATTATTTCGTGTTCAAATTGCGCGGATGTATTTGGAAATTTTATTGGCTCCACTCATCGTGTCGCTATTATTATGCGTAATGATATATCTTGTCTTTTTACATCATGATTGCCATGACACTACTTCCCCGTTCTTTACTTTCTATTCGTGCATTATAAGGTATAGAGTGCCGATTTTATTCCAGTTCTTAAATTGTATATTTACCCGATCCTAATAAATTACATTTTATAATTTCAAACATCCCAACAATAGTCCCAACAATATCATATTTATATTCTCATTTAATCCATGTTAATATTTATAATAGAGCTTATAATAAATACCATTAATAAATACTAATGATATTAATACAAAAATTATGAATAAGTATATTAGATTGAAATATTTTTATGAAAATAACTAATACAATTCATGAAATAATTATGAAAATTAATTACGTAGCAATAAAGAATTACTAAAGTATATCTTAGAATTATAAAATATTTTCATATTGTATATGTTTATATATTATATTTTATTATCATATATGTTATTATTATACATATATGCTATGTGAAAGGAATTGTTGCAAAATTCGTCACAAAATATAACATTATTAAAAAACGACCAATTTTATTGAAATTTTTCGTTTTATTTAATTAATACACTTAATACAAAGATCTGTATGAAATTATTCTTGACAAAAAAATACTAATAAATAACAGTCAAAAAATTTGCAGTTTTTGAAACAAAAATTAATATTAGTATGCTATAATTAAATATATGAACTCATTTGATATTTATATTAAAACATTATAAATAAAAATCTTTAAAGAAAAGTAAAAATTTATTAGAACTATTGTCAGTGACCAGTTGTGGAGATGATATATACATATAATGTGCAATATTTTAAATACTTGCGGTATATTTATAAAAATATTACTTTTTAAAGAAATTTTGTCGATTATTTTTATTTGAAAAACGTAGGGATGTATTATATAGGGGAGACTAGGATCAAAAGTAATACGGGTAAACTGTAACACTTACATAAAAAAAATACACAAAAGGAAGAGATAGAAGTTTATAATATATTTATCACAAACTTCTATCTCTTCTTTACACTTGCATATTTTGTTTATAACGGTTTTTTATATAAGTGTTACAACTCTTACCCGTGTTACTTTTGACCCCAATCTTCCAAAATTATTAAATTTACAGATTTTTCTATATTGTATTTGAAAGTAATACTTTAAAAGAAAATTTGGCAGCGATTTAGAACCTGGATGAAATATTATTTCAATAAGGAGACATATTTTTAAAAAATAATTATGATAAAATGAGAAAAATGTCATTTAAATTTTATAATTGTATTCTTAAATATGAATATTGATCTTATTATACTGTTTCATATGTATATCATGTTCATTTTTATATGGAAAGTATAAGTTTCCAATTCCAGTCACTTTTTTTGCAGAGACTATACACTTGATATATTATATCTTTAAAACATGCAAAAATTGTTTCATTAGTCGTGCACTTTCTACAAAATATTCTTTAATTGAACATAAATATTAACTGAAAATCCCTTATTTAGAGGAGTGTTTACGACAAATAACATTTTAATATAAATTGGGTTGTAAAAGATATAAAACAAATAATATTATTCTATGAGTATGCAATCATGCGGATAAGAGATTCAATATAATTGTATATAAAAATTATATAATATTTTTTTTATTCAACTAATTATTTCATTAATATTGCTGTATTAGAGATATCATTATGATCGATTTTACCGCGCTCGAATTCATCTATTAAATTATCCTGATACATGATATTTTGTGTGACTTCAATCTGATCTAACTTATTATCCGGAAAATAAGGTTCACTTCGTGTTCGAAAAAGCGAAAGAGACAAATTATCATCTGCGAGAATGTTTGTACAGCAATCGTTTTCCGAGAGACTCAAACAATGTGGTATCGATCTGCCTTTGAAACCTTCGCAATTGTCATCGTTCAATCCGCCACTGCTTTTACAGGTACGTCGATATCGCAAATTGTCAAATTTATTGTCATAAACGCAAGAATGTAAACTCGAAATATGATTGACTGAGTCACTGAAAAGACTTGAGTCATCTTCGAGCGTTCTGTCCAAGTTCTTGTCACTCAAAGTAATGGTTCTTAGCGTCCGTTGCATTTGACTTACTTGTGCATCAATCACCTCCCAGCAACGTTGCATGAGATTAGGTTCTTCAAATAGGCGAGATTGACTCAGAAGCAAACATGCGTTTTTTGCTGTAAGACTCGTCTCTAAATAATTGACACACGCCCGTGCCAGGTGTGGAACTATATATTTTTTCGCGACGTACAATGTCGCTAGAACTGTATCTGCTTCTAGCTGCACTTCGTCACAATACATATATCTAAAAAAAAAACAAATATTATGATCATATAAACTATAATTATCTTTAGAAAGAAAGGCTGAATAATAAATATCGTATTATATAATCATGAATCATCATGATAAATATCATATAATTTTCTTTTGATAATAAAAATGTTTATTTTGGTTTATTTTAATCAATCCACTAAAATATTTCAAAATTCTTAAGTTCGAGATAAAAATGTTTCAGATAAAAGTTGTTTGGTTACTAGGAGAAAAGACTGTGATCTTAATTGGCCTTAAAAAAAATGTCCTCAAGATTAAATCAAGGACATCTAAAATTTTTTTAATTGAAAATTCTATTTTTTATTTCACATTCATATTGATTCAAAATCTTTTCGAAACACTAAGAAAATATTTTTCATACAAGTATTTTATATGAGACTTGAAAGTTAACAGGTTAACGTTTAGTTAACTTACTATTAGGTGTTGGAATTAATTCGTAGCGTTTTTAATGAAAGAATGTTATTTATTTCACATGAGCATTAAAAAATACATTAATGAAAGTACTTCCCATCACTTGTAAAACGCTACGAATTAATTCCAACACCTAATATTTTAAGGGGATCCTATAATTGTCTATTTTACCCATTAAATACAATAATTTTTGTGTCGCAATTTCTTCTTTCCTCTTTTACAGATTTGAAAATCTTTTTCCAGATTTAAAAATATATATGCGCATTAATACAATTTGTGGAGTTTATATCGAAGACAAAAAATTCTAGCACTTGAGATTTTTATCATTTCTTAATTCAATTGCGTCTAGAGTCAAGATAGCTCGGTCGAAAATGGAGATTAATTTTGTTACTTTTTAACTTTAACTTTTTAGGTTAAAGTTTTTTTATCTCTTTAATGCCAATATCGTTTTTTGTAAAATTTTAAACATTATAAAGAATTAGTTTTGGAAAAAGCTCAATGATTGTGTGATGAGTACGATGTTTGTAACGCCCAAAAATGGGTTAGATCTGTATTTAAAGAATGCTATCAGTACTATTACATCATATTATCCTTGTTTTAATCGTCTAATGAGCGATAAAAAATTTTCAAAGCGTCGTGCCGGCAAAGTCAACATAAGAGAAATACAAGATTACTTACATTTTAAAAATTAAATTTTATTTTTTTTTTGTAACTATAAATATCAAAATATGAAAATATCTGTATGTAAAAGTACTAAAAATCAGTTTTTTTTTTTGTACAGGAGATAACTTTGTTATTTTATTTACAAATAAAATATTAAATTTTTCTGACTCATCTATATTGTAATTGTTTTATTATTTAAAATAATTTGATTTAAAAAAGTGTAAGATATTTTCAAAGATACCAAAAGATTTAGAATCAGTGATCCGCCTTGAATTATACATGATTAACCTTTGCTTTGTATATCATTGTAACTTTGAATTTCATAATGATAACACTATAATTACTTTAAGGAGAATTTTAAGATTATTTGTACATTAATTAATTATTTATGTAATTTCTTAAATTTTTGGTTCAGGATTTCTTTACTCTAGCTAGCGAGTTAGAGCGTGTCATTTTTATTATTAATGTATAACATTAATGGAATATGTCATTTATGGAGATAAAATTTAAACAAGTGACACACATTCATTTGGCAATGATGTGTTCTGCTTTCTTCCAAACTGTTGAGAATATCTTGAAATTTATCAATTGAATTCATTGATGATAGCCCGGAGAAGTGTCGAAATGTTTGAAATAAATGATTTTGTTAACACATGCAGGTAATTGCACAACATGAACCGTATGTGACTTTCATTTGCACATTTACTTTTGTATCGTTTTTTTAAATATTATTTAGTTAAACACAGTTTATTTTTTCTTCTCTCTTCTTCCTGTAAACATCTAAGAAATCGATAAAATTGTAGCTCAAAATTGTTTCGTTTTTACTATTGAAACATCCTATTACACAACCTTCCGATTTGATTTTTTTTTAATAAATTATAAAAAAACTTGGAATATATTATTCGTTTTCGACTTTTGTCGATACTCCCAAAATTTCAGAAAGTGATCGAGCGGCGATGTTTGAAACTACCATAGCGTATGTAATGATGTGTCAATGACATAAATCGTATGTGTATAAGTCCTATTGAGTCGATAAAACAGACGACTTTAAAATCCTCTTAAAGCAATGAAGAAAGGATTAATTTTGATGCTGAATTTAAGCTCAGCTTGAATTTTTTATTCTACCTTATTTCAAATACATTTCTTATATCTATTCATCGTGAGAGGCAACGGGAGAGAAACTTGTGTCAATAAAATATCCCAAAAGGAACAGAAAGCTATTATGTCACGCCATTATTCCTGGATAGTGTTAAAAGTAAAATTAGAATGGAAAATGTATTTTTACTCTAAATCTCATGGAGTGAAATCTCACTTGAAGAGATTGAAAATTTAGCCTGTTTTGAAAAAAAGTGAAAATATGGTCATTCTCTGACAATCTGCTATCTTGAACGAGAATGGCCATATTTTCAAAACAGGCTAAATTTTCAGTCTCTTCAAATGAGATTTTATTCCACGAGATTTAAAGAGTAATATTTTGAAAAAGTCTTTGAAATTAGTTACATGAATGAATGAATCTGACATATAAAAAAGGCACGTAAAAAATTTAATTGCCGTAATGGTGGTTGGTTCTTTCTCGCTCTTCGTGTTGCGAGGCTGTCAGCATAAAATGTTCTGACAGCTCACAAAGGTTAGATTTTTTTGTGATTGATCGGTATATTTATAAACTTATAAGTATGTATACTTTCTGTGTAAATATACAGGGTATATTCTCCAATTAAATGGCTAAACTTTAAATATGAATTTAAGACCTCAAAACAAAATTTTCTTCTAGACCTTATTTCGACATTATTATCATTCCTACAGTTCTGTAATTTCAGAAGTCAATATCTCTTGAAGTGTTTGTGAACATACTTCCAGACGAAAATTTTATTTGTTTTGAGGTTTTAAATTCATATTTTAAATTTGGCCATTTAACCCAGGATACACCCTGTATAATATTAAAAGTTAAATATCACGCACATCTGTTTTGTACGATATTAATAAAATAATAATTTATAAAATAATAATAAAATAATAATTTATTAACGAAATAAATAAAAATGGGAATTTCAATTTAAAATTTTAGATGATGATCTTGATCCTAAGAGCTTCTTCTTAAGGTTAATCAAAATCACCATCTTCTTTTTCCCTAACTGAATAACTTTTGTCTGAAACATTTTTGTTATTAAAGAGATATTTTGAGATATTTTCAGTGGATTGATTAAAAAATGATCCACTCTATATACTTATTTACTACTTTCTTACACATATATACATCATATTTTATAATAACAAATAGCATAATATGAACCGGAGAAAACCATTTCAGTTCTTTAGAAAGTTAAAGGATCAAACAACTTTTTTAGCAATAGTAATTTTGAACAAGATGTTTTCAAATTATTTTAGGCTTCTTGTGTTTTACCTCAATAATGCAAGAAAAGCTGCTGGTTCAACATCAGGCACTTCTATATCTCTTTTATTTTCAGGTAACCCTCCGTAGAACATAGCATAAAATACAGAACTGCCAGTAGCAAGAACATATTTATGTGCTGGTATTGTTTGTGTGTGACCTATGATATTAATATGCGATATAATATTTTGGGATAGTAGTAATTAAGAAAAAGTATAAGGTAATTTGAACAAGTACCTGGACTGCCAACGATAAATATAATATCGGCCATGAGATGATTATTAAACATAGCCGCGTTTCGTTCTCGAACTGTAGGTTTTGTTGCTTGCCAATTAGGATCTTGGGTGCAATCTCCGGGTGATGGTAAATTTAATTGAGTCACGGGTGATGATAAGGAAGACAAAGGTGACGCAGGTGCACTCAATGGTTGATTAACTGTAGTTCCTTCGCGTTGTAATACAATAGATGAAGAGAGTGGACTCACTGATGATGGTGAATCTGATGTATTACTTGGAGATTCCGCTAGAATTACAAAAAAAAACTTTATTATGTCAGATAAATCAAATATATTAAACATAAAAAATTTTTAAAATATCAGGATACTAAATTTTGAAGTCGCTTTCTATATCATTAGCTAAAAGACAGATAGCTATGTAGTGAGCTCAAAGCAAAATAATCATAAGATTTATAAATAATGCAAGTAATTTGAATCTATATTCAAATTTTTAATTAATATGTTAAATAATTGACAGAAATTAAAATGAAATTTGTTTAAATTTTTCTAAAAATAAGCATATATTTATATTTTCAATAAGCAAATTTGCAATATGTTTGCAAATTGGCAACAAATTCAATCAGAAATTGCTAACAAATTTTCATCAACAGTATTTGCATCAAGCTTGTGTTTTGTTGACAGAGCTAATTCTTAATTGATTACAAAATTGCTGATCTAACAGCAAAATAGCGCAAAAATTATGCAGAATCTGCTAAATGTAGATGTCATTCTATTTCTGGTGCCAGTCTGCATAAACTGTATAGCAACTATAGTCTACATAATTTTTATTATAAATTTGCTGTCATATTTTCCAGACAAACTTGATTATATTGCTATCAATCGGCATTTTGTATACAACAGCATTATATATAACAGCGAGATTCCGTATCAAATCTATATCTTTCTGTCAACAATTTGTAGTAAATATTTTGCAGATTCTCGATAAATTTAATAACTCGATTCATTTAGATCTTAGTGCTTAAATAATATTTTCGTTGTAAATTTATCCAGTTGTGCAAACTGCGCACCAAAATCATTTTGTCTTGAACGTAATCATAAGCTGAACTGGCGTAATAATATTACAAATTAAACTGATAAGCAATTTTAACAATATTAAATGTTAATAAGCATCTTAAATCAATAATTTAGCATGAGTATTATTAAAATTGCTTGTCCATTTAACTTGCGATATTACACTATTACACTATTACTGCCAGTTCAGCTTGTAATTACATTTCAATATTGAAAATAACTTCGACGCACAATTAGCAGAACTGGATATGTATACAAATTTTCACTCCGAAGATATGATACACATTAAGATCCAGCTTAAATCGATAAAGTTTTCGTTATTCGGTTACATATTAATTATATTAATGTTAAATTTGCTATTCTAAGACACTTTGTTTAATTACTTAATTTATTTATCTTTGCAAATGCTATATATTATTTTATTATTAACGTGTATCTCATAACTTTTTGTGATCCATTTAAATCAAATTTAAAAATCTATTAAAAAATTTAAATCATTTTAAAATTGTGTTGAAAATGTAATATTAAATTCAACAAAGATAATTTTGCCTGTGTATTAGAGATGTAAGTTAGGTCAAATTAGATAAAATCTTAAATTCAATATTTTTGTATATTTTTGAGATATTCTGAGCACACATTTGAATCACACATCTCTTTTTCCACGAATTAAGTAAAAACTGAAAAATTCAAAACAATATCTGTTATCTTCGATACTACATTAATCATATTATTTACCGTAAGTACATTATTTAGAATGTTGTCCAGAAGAATGTTTATTTTAATTTTCTTATTACAACAATTGAGCACGATTTTGCTTGATTTTCATTTAATTTTTCTTATTAAATTTATTTACAGTTTTTCAGCACATTAACATCTTCCTAATATGATGCCTAATTGAGCATCAAATTATTAAAAATTGCTTGTCAATTTAATTTAATTTGTGATATTATTACAGTAGTTTAATTGCGTTTGTAAGTCCAGAAAATTCGGTGCGTAATTCGAA